CTATCTAAAATGTACTGAGTGTTGCCCAGCCGGTGTGGCTCAGTGGCTGAGTGTCGGCCCATGAATGAGGAGGACACATGCCGGGGTTTTAGGCTTGCTCCCCAGTAGGGGGTGTGCAGGAAGCAGCTGATCGATGATTTTCTCTTACCACTGATGTTTCTATCTCTCTATCTCTCTCCCTTCCTCTCACTAAAATCAATAAAGATATATTAAAATGTATTGGGTGTTTATGGCAACCATTATTCTAAATGCTTCATCTGCATTAACTCAATCCTAGCAATACACAAGATAGATACTAATCTCATTTTACAGATGAGGAAATAGGAAAGAGCTCTTGACCAGCACTATAAATGCCACAAAACAAGGCAGAAAAGCATTCCATTTCACTTACAGGTAAAAAAAAAAAATGCATATTAAGCAAGGAGATTCTTCTTATATTTAAAAAGTTGTATCTTTTTAAGTATAAATGTAATGAATTATAAAATTTTTAGAAAATAAAGGAAAACAGAATTTTTTACATGATACAAAACCCATCATTCTGTCTCCTGAAAAAAATCACATTGAGCAATTTGATGTAACTTCCTACAACCTTCTGTGTCTTTTCAATTTGTATTACACAGCTTTGATCAAACAGTACTGAGCGTTTTGTAGCTTATTTGTTAAATTTCCTAGTATAAGGATTTTTCTATAAATACAGTGTCTTTAAACCTTTTGCGCCGTAACAATAAAAACCAGTAGTGTTCTCTAAGTGAAAGGACTACAAATGGTTTTAATTTTCCTTTTATATCTCTGTATTTTCCAAAATTGCTTCACCAGCATAATTTTCTCTAATTATAAAACATATGAGTTTAAAAAATCTTAAATGTTAAAATAACTTGTGCAAATGAAAATAGAAAGTCTAGTTTAAGCCAAAAAATATATATATGTTAAATGTCTATTTTAAAATAAACACTTACCCATACGAATCAGTGAGCACTCAGAACTTGAGCTAGCAGGAGGAGGACTAACATGATGTGTTAGCAATTCTTTGTAATGGCTTTCATCTAAAATAACATGGTATGTGCCTAACAAGATTAAAAAGCAAAATAAAATAAAATCTGCTTTCCAGAGAGAATAATGAATTATATAATTTCTATGTATTTCTATAAAAACATTTAATTATCATTTTTCAAAAATCTTATTTAAATAATATCTTACTTGTCTTCTCTAGGAATAATTATAATTACAATTTAATTAAAGCCAAGTTATAAGATCTTTACAAAGTATTACATCTAATGAAATTTCTAGCTTTTCAAGAGTATACTGCCTCTGCACACTGACATAATTTCTGAAAATTCCTTGCATTTTGAGATATCAACAGAATCAATGATATATTTAAGATGACTACCCATATTTTGGACTTCAGGACATGAACTGTTTAATTAAAGCTTAAAAACAGGCTAAAACACCCTAATTTTATTAATAGCTTGTTACTTCTTACATAGTAATTATGAGTAAATATTGAAGATTCTAGATATATACCACCAGTTTCACGAGCAAGTACAGTGCAAACCCGAACTTCTGCAGACAATCCAATAACAGACACTCTAATTTTAGCTGTCTTTAGGGTCTTCATAAAATCCAAGGAAATGGATGGTTTGGGGGGAAGAAAAAAAGAGCATTAAACAATTAATGTTTGAAAAATAAACAGAATGTTCTGAAAACTTGTAAAACTTACAAGAATTAATTTACAGATTACAAAATCTATGTATATAAAAGCCTAAGCGACTGGCCAACCAGCCAACTGTTTGACCGGCTGACCGATAGCTATGATGCGCACAGACCAACAGGGGCAGATGTTCAACGCAAGAGTGGAAACCACTACAGAATTTTCTTTAGAGTTGTGATTATAAAATTATTGTATCTACCTTGATTAGGTCATAGATATTAGATGGATCACAAGTTGTGAGGCTGCTAAAGATGATTAGGACTTCTCTACTTGTATGCCCAGGCATGTGTCTAAAGAAAGACAAAATACAATCCAATTAGGTACAACAAATTACAATAATATAGTTTATCCAAAAAGGACAGTATACATGGTTTATAAATTTAGACTACAGAATATTTCATTTGTTTCAACACTGCAAAGAAAGGAATTGAAAATTCTTGTAAGTTTTAGGGATAGAGAGATAAACAAGACTGACAAAGGTTCTTGACATCATTAATCTTACATTCCAGTAGATTTGTTTCATACGAAATCTAAAGGGTACATTGGAAAGTACAATAATACCTTATGGGTCAATTTTAGGATGTATACATGTGGCTTGACAACAGTAATGTACTTCTTTTTTAAAGTTCAGGGTGATTCAGAGTCATAATAAGCATAAACATTAATTTTTGTGTACCAGTTATTGATTTTTTTTTTTTTTTTTACAGAGAGTAAAGGAGAGAGATAGTTAGAAACATCGATCAGCTGCCTCCTGCACACTTCCCACTGGGGATGTGCCCGCAACCAAGGTACATGTCCCTGACTGGAATCGCACTTGGGATCTTTCAGTCTGCAAGCTGACGCTCTATCCACTGAGCCAAACCGGTTAGGGCCTTGTGTACCGTTTAATTAAATGATAGCTTATGGACTTTTAAGATGTGATAAGCAGTTATCCTCTATACTAAATAGAGATTTCTACGCTTTTAGGAGCAATTTTATCAGTTATTTATAGCCAACCTGCTTATATCTTCCTTATTAGGCTCTTAGCTTTCACTTGTGGATGTTGCTATGGTGCCTACCTTTATTACACATATTACCTTCTCATCTACTTTGAAACTAGAAAAATATCTATTATATAAAGGTATAAAAACCTGAGTCAGGACAGATTAGCCAGGGACAAAATATATGAGCTTTAACTATACTGAATACTTCCTCTTGGGTAAAAGTTATATTCCATATAGTTGAACTTGTTGGAAAAGAGTGCTATTAATTTACAGATTACAAAATCTATGTATATAAAAGCCTAAGCGACTGGCCAACCAGCCAACTGTTTGACCGGCCGACCGATAGCTATGATGCGCACTGACCACCTGGGGCAGATGTTCAACACAAGAGTGGAAACCACAAGCATGGACACATGGAACAGACTGATGAATCTCAGAGGGAAGGGGGGAGGGAGGAGGGCAAGGATAGATTAACCAAAGATCTTATATGCATACTAGAGGCCCGGTGCATGGATTTGTGCACCGGTGGGGTCTCTCGGCCTGGCCTGTGCCCTCTAGCAATCCGGGAACCCTCAGGGGATGTCGGAGAGCCAGTTTTGGCCTGATCCCCACAGGCCAATCCAAGGGACCCCACTGGTGCACAAATCCATGCACCGGGCCTCTAGTAAGCTAATAAAAGGTAATAAATATACAATAAACTCAAATTATTATACCACATTAAATTCCATATACAATGAATTTTCAATAAAATAATTTTTCAACAAAACATTTCTTTTGTAATACTAACGCTGCTACAATTTTAATTATATTTTTCTAAAACCTCACCAATTAAAATATAAAATAAAAATTAACACCACACTAAACATCATAAATGACATTACATATTTCTCTTAATAATGATTTCATTATAGCTGGGTTTATAGAGATACATATTAACATATTATCCTTTCAGCAACTTATTCAAAACACTTTGAGATCAAATATGTAATAAATATAAAACACTAACTTTAGAGTTTGCATAGCCATGTTTAAGGAGTTATAAAGAGATGGCTCTCCATGGCAGGTCATATCTACAGCTTTCTTCAAAGATGTTATGTGTTTTCTAGGGTTTCCTAAAATAGAAATGGAATAATTTACTTTTATTTATTTTAAATTTTATTTATTTTAGTTACAGTTTACATTCAATATCATTTTACATTAGTTTCAGGTGCACAGCATGGTTGTTAGACAATCATATACTTTACAAAGTGTATCCCTTGTTAATTTACTTTTAATAAAACTCTACTTATACATTATGGAATCTATGTCTCTTCCAAAATTTACATATTTATGTTAAAGAACAGAATCCTTTCAATTTATGTCTTTAGCAACTTGCATTTTTATGAGAGATGTTTGTTATATAAAGTCTCACTTCACACTAAAAAAATATAGTAAGTCCCCCTAACGTTGTCAATAGGTTCTAAAACTTTAAACGAAACAACGTAAAACGAGACTGATTTTACTAATTGATATAAACAAGAGTTAAGCTCCTAAAGCATCTCATCACTGCTATAATGAAATGATGCTGAACTTGATGTTATTCAAGGATCTGTTGTACAAATCGCTTTTTACCTATTAGCACACATTTTAAATATTAACCTAGAGTGCATAACTTTTTACTTTTACTATTTCCCTATTTCATCACTTTTAAGACTAACATATGTTCACATTTTACTATCTCTGAAATCATGCTGTGTCTTACCATCACTGGCAGCCACACAGCATGTGGAAACCTATGAATGGCTATCGATGTGTTGTGGCTTCAACTGCATTATGTACATTGTTTGTGCTATTCACATCAAGTTTAACTGTGATTTAAAGTGTTTTTTAGAAAGGTTATTAACACAAAAGGTTAAATCTTTATGTAGAAAGACATGGCACAGAGCAGTGAGGTGTAAATTTGTACTAGTCAAGCAAAAATTCATTGATAGAAGAATGTCTGCAATTCTACATTTTTCTTCAGGGGAAAACCCCAAGAGCTTTAAAAAACCTAAGGAGGATTTCCACAAATATACAAAGCTGTGTTATCTTCTGTTATAGAAATAATATCTATGAAAAAATTCTCCATCTCAAGCCAAGTTATACAAATGAAGGGAGGACAAACTGCCAAATTCTTTAGAATGGTTGATCAACACATTAAATCATTAAGAAGCTGATATGAACAAGTCACGTATCACTGATCTTGTGTCAAAGTTTAATTGCTAGTGTTTCCTTCTTTTTTTTAAATCCTCACCAGAGGACATGCTTAGAGAGAGAAAAGGAGAGAGAGAGAAAGAGGGAAACACTGATGTGAGAGAGAAACATCAATCAGTTGCCTTCCTTACATGCCCTCACTGGAGACCAAACCCACAACCCAGGTATATGCCCTGACCAGGAATTGAACTGGCAACCTTTCAGTGCACAGGATGACACTCAAACAATGGAGCCACTCCAGCTGGGCGGTGTTTTCTTCTTGATGGTATCTCAAAAATTATGAAATTTGAGATTCAATGAAATATAGTATTTTTCAGACATTTTCTCCTATTTTAACAGTCTTCATATTAAGTAATGATAATCAAAACTCACCGAGTGGCCACTGTGGCTCAGTGATTGAGCATCGACCTATGAACCAGGAGGTCATGGTTCGATTCCTGGTCAGGCAGGGCACATGCCTGGGTTGCATGTTCGATCCCCAGTGTGGGGCGTGCAGGAGGCTACTGATTAATGATTCTCTCTCATCATTGATATTTCTATCTCGCCCTCTCTCTTCCTCTCTGAAATCAATAAAAATATACTTTAAATAAATAAATAAATAAATAAAACAGTTTGTCTTAGCCCTGGAACATACCCAGGTTGTAGGTTCAATCTCTGGTGGGGAAACAACCAGTAATGTCTCTTTCTCTCTCTCTCTCAAACCAATTTAAAAAAAATATATCCTTAGGTAAGGATTAAAAAAATAAAGATACACACACACAATAAAAACAGTTCATCTTTGATACCAAATTTAATAGAGAACATACAGGAAGGCCTAATTTTACTTACTAGGCAACCTTTTGGATAGGGTTACAAGGCTGAGTAAATAAAGCCAAGTCCTTGAGTCCTGTAAAGGTAATTTTATGCATACCTGAGAGTTCTGTCAGTTTTTCAGCTCTTTTACTCTTTGTCACAATAATTCCAATCTAAAAATAAAAACAAAAAGGATTATTAATTTAACCAATTACTGCTTGGTAAGAATGTACATTAACATATATTAGTGTTTACAAAAGGAATAAGTAACATGTGAGAAACCTTTTTTCATGATGCTTTAGACATAAATTTAGCTATGAGTTCACTGTACATAATTTAACTTTTAGAGTTATCTTGTTTTTCATTGACAAATGTACTAAAAACTGGTACACAGTCTGAATCACTTAATAATTCATAGAACAGATGCCCAATGTTTTAAAAATAAATTCTATTTGGCAGTAATATCAGGAATCTAATTCTGAATTCCATCACTTACTTACATACCTGACTAATAGGATTTTGATCAAAATATTCCTCTACGAAGTATTCCAACAACTGTTCAAATAAAACAAAAGGAAATACCAGGTAAGAGCAAAATAACAACCATAGGGAACATATTTTGGGAAACCTATTTATCAAGCATGATTTTTAAGTTATTAGATTTTCAAAAATGTTCAGTAACAAAAATATTACATAAAAAATGATAAAATTTAGCTCTGGCCGGTGACTCAGTTGGTTAGAGCATTGTCCCATACTCCAAATACAGGTTCAATCCCTGGCTTGGGCACACGCGTAGGGGAGACAACCGATTGATGTTTCTTTCTCACATCTATGTCTTTCTCTCTCTCTTTCCCTCCCTTCCTTTCTCTCTAAAATCAATACAAATATATCCTCGGGTGAGGATTAAGTAAATAAAACGTCTGAACTTTTTTCTCTGGAGTTTTTTAATTAATATTTTCAGACTGTGGTTGACCATGGTAACTGAAACTGAGGATAACGGGGGGGGGGGGGGGGGGG